CGTGCCGGGCGCCCGCAGGCTCCGCGGCCACCGTGGCTGTGGCCTGGGCGCCCCGAGGGCGAGCCGGCTGCCCCTCCTGGGCCGGCTTTGAGCTCGGAGTGTGGCGGGGACCGCGAAGCTCGGGGCCGAGGGGGTTGCTGCAGCCTTGGCTGGGGCATCCGCCGGATCCAAAGGGAAGCGAATGCACGGAAGCCTCCGCAAATGGATGAGAATCCATCTTCCACTCGAGCTGGGGATAGACTTTGTGAAAGATACTATGTAATGGAGTCTCGGGAAGCTCGAGACGCCTCCAGCGAAGCTAGTGGTGAATTAATTAAGTGCTTTAAACGGTCTAGGTAAATATTCCGCAGGGGGTGGGGAGGACGGTTGAGGACTGCTGTAGCTCGAGTTGAATTTTAACTGTCCACATCCTGTGTGGCTGGTCGCTCTGCCGTCTGTGCCAAGGTGCTATGTTATGGGAGGGGGTGAATGGAAAGTAGCAGAGCTGAATTTCTCTCCCTTGAGTAAGGCCAAATACTGGATTACTACAAGTCTTGACATGATTGGACCCGTGTTTCTCATGCATCATTAATGTCATCTGACATTGCCCTGTTCTTTCCCAAGCTCCTGGACAGAAGTAATGGGTTTCCTTCTTTTTTCCCCCCCGTTTACTTGTTTATTGTAAATATATTAATAAAGAAGATGCGTGATAAATGTTATTTGTGAAAACCCCAGTGAAGAAGTAACTGAAGTGATGCAAAATGCATTGTGCGGAGATTCTCTTCTGTGACTGTCAGAAAACGTTCTGGAAATGACAGGCTCTGTAATGACCCACCATTCACAGGATATGTACCAAGGTCAATAAAATTCGTGAATTAACAAAAAGTGACTTGCATCCGTGTGGGGGGGGGGTGTGAAAAAATCAAGTCCTGTGGCAGGTGTGAGGTGGGAATGGGCAGCGGACCTTCTGATCCAGAAGAGTCTGGCTCCAGGAAGGTGGCAGCCAAGTGGATCCTGAAAATCGTGACTAATGAACCAAAAGTTAATAGCACAGAATTGTAAGGAGAAAGGAAACAAAGATGCCTTTGAAATCCTCTGTTTTCGGAACAAATTTATACTTACCATAAATATTTTGGATTTAACCACTCCAATTCTGAACCAAAAAGCCAGAGTTATGACTGGAATATTCCCCAGCCACTGGCATCAGAAAACTAAATGTTTCTCCAATCGTATTTCTTTGTCCTGAGGAGAGGAAGAGACTCATTAACTATTACTGATTATCAGTGGGTGGCAGAGAAGATTTTCAACAATAGAAAGGGGGAATGAGCATCCCATTTTCTAGAAGGGTCTAAAGAGCTGTTGGGATGACTAGAGTCCAAAGATGTTGTAGAGACAATTCCTGTAGTTGTGTAGGTCAGGTTAGATGCCCTCTGAAAAGACCTCATATCCTGAGGTTCTGCAATTACAACTATTAGTGAAACTGTTTGAAATATGCTCGATTTTCTGTTAGCAGAATTCAAGAAAGATAAAAACACACCACACTGTTAAACATGACTGTTGCTTGTATCCCAACAAGGCACCAGCCCTTTGCTGTGGGATTTGCCAACAAACTGTCATCATTGTGCTGTGTTAAAAGGCCTTTGCCACTCTTGCAGAGAGGTTATCTGTATTTCGGTTCAAATGCAAGTATAAAGACATTATTAAAATGTAGCAGATAACATTGTAGGACTCAACAGGAAAAGCCAAGGTCAGGTGGTGGAAAAAAAATGCAGGAGTGAGAAAGCCACTGTCAATTGAAAAAATAAGAATAATCATTCTCAAGGTCCTACTTTTGTGTTTGCATTTTTTATTTTTTTAAGGCAATATATTAAGGGTTAGGGAAAGCTAGAGATTGAACACAGGCGAGGAACAATATGGAGGTCACCATCCATCTTTCCTGGGATTCCGGTGGAAGGTAGACAAACGCAAGGCGATAAAGGCTGACTTCTCATGGGAATTCAAGTTAACCTTAGAAAGGACTGGAGAGATTCCTAAGATGGATATATCAACTTAGAAAATTCAACTTATATAGGGTCCTGTGCCGTAGAATTCATAGAGAAGCAAAGGAGAAAACAGGAAGAGTTACATGAGGCCTGTAACTAGTAATAAATAAGCAGCCAGCAAGGGCCTGGCAACTTATCTGAAGCCAGTGTGTGAACTAGGAGCTCAGTTATGAAATAGCAGTTTCTTCCCTGGGATCCAGGAGGGACTCTTAGGTGGCCAGAAGCCAAGGCTGAGAGTGAGGCTCAAACAAAAGGATTCCCTGATCTTTAGAGACCAGAGTAAAGATACAGAAGAAAGGATAGGTGGGCCCAACATGGTGACAATTGGGGGTCAAGGGAGAAAGTAGACTGGGAGGGATAACATAGACCCTGGAAGTTCTATACAAATGAAAGAGATAGAGTCATACATGGAATATGGTCTAATGCCTTCTCTGAGAAGTCTCTTGAGCTTATTCCCTGATCTATTCTATAGCATTTTGTAACTACCTCTGCTTGTAGCATTCATCATGATATATTATAAAACTTTCTCTAAATAGGTCTGGACTCCATTAAATTGTCAGCTTATTGGGGGGGAGGGCACATGACTTGTAAGAATGTATGCACGCCTGAATGAGTTGATAAAGAGAGGGAAGAATTATAGGTAAAAAGATATATGAACATTCTTGTCTGAAGCCTTTCTCTCTTGGTTTTAGTAAATGCCTCTAAAAGAAGCCTTTGAAAGGGTGGTTGGACACGAAGGAGTCTTCCAAATTGGGGAGGGGGGCTAGTGCACAAAACCAAATCCCACAGGTCTAAAAGGAAAGGGAGTTAGACTATACTTCTGATGGAGGTCTGGAAGAAGAGACAGTCCGCCCTCTATTGGCCATTGGGGGGGTTGGGTGGGAGGGGTTTGCTAAATTGTTGAAAATGTCTAAAAATCAAATGCTCAGCTGGGGACCTAGTAGAAAGTGGAAATAAGAGAGCAATAGACAGACCAGTGGTATTAGAGCCCTCCTCCTTGGTTCGGTGCCTAGTTCAACCTCTCCACTCTAGTCACACTCTGAGATGTTTGTGTTTTCGGGAAACGAAAAGAAAAATGTAGGAGTTGCCTTTTGAGTCTGAAAAACACACTCTTAAAACTGAATTGCACCAGAGAAAAAGTCTCATTGTTTTCTAAAGATGTTGCATACCTAGTAGAGAGATCTATGAAGAAACCAGGACAAGAAACATGCTCTTTTCCCCTCTTCCCTCCCATGGCTCTTGCCAACCTCAGCTGGGCTCACCTTGGGCTTGGACCTTGTCAGTGGCAGGGAAACCCCTGGTTTGGAAGTTCAGCCATCTGATCTTGGGCTCTGGATCTGGTACTTGGGCTAGATTATCACCACCTAGTACCTAATTTTACTGAGGCAGTTCCTTTCTTATCTACCCTGCTTGTGTACGGCAGCTACTCTGGACGTATTAGAACCCAGGAAGGCACATGCACAACACAGGTTCTCTCTCTCGCTGTTTACATATGTTTGAACAAGGTATTTATCCTTTCTGAATCGGTTTCTCCGTTGTAAGATGGAGACAAATTTGAATACCAACCACAGTATAGTATGGATAAAATGGTTGTTCTCCTTTCATATTATTTTTGGAGTCCTTCTCATTGTCTATTGTTATTTTTGGAGTCCTTCTCATTGAGTGTCTCCTCAAGTTTTAGGCTGGAGCGAGAATCCCTGCTATGTGATATCCCAGTACCTCTTCCTGTGCAGCATCTACCTGACCAGGCATTCACCTTTTCCCCCCCTTCTTATGGATCTTTCTGTTGGTCCCACTTTGGCAGTCTGTCTAGCCCTGGGGTTGTAGCCTTTGTAATATTTTCTTGGACCTATTCCAGTCTTATTTTAAAGGTTAGTTCATTAATAATATTTCAAAGGGTATATCATTAATAATAATGATAATAATAGTAATAGCTAACCTTTGTAGAGTGCCTGCTAATAAGCTCTTCACAAGGGTTATTTTAATTAATGTACAGAATAGCCTTATATTACCTCCAATGCCTAAATGCTGTCTCCACTTTATAGTTAAGGAATCTGAGGCAC